TTTGCAATAACAGTAATATTATTGCATACCCATAATTTCTACTATTCTGGCTATATTCTAATATAAGATATTAATTTCTACCTATTCGACGATACTTTCCACCAGGCAATTTACATATACCAAAATATTTTGAAGTTTCTTCATGATATTGTATAAGATTATACATTAATAGTCCTTGTTCATGTAAAGTATTAAGCAACTTAGAAAAAGTATTTATAAAAAAAACAAGTATAAGTTTATATTCTTATAATATATAATATTATATATTAAGTAAATCAAATCTTATCATAATGTATTTTTTCATTAATATTATTTTTAGTTAATAAAATATCAATATCTTCACAAGTAGATTGACCTCTTATATAAGATCCAACGGTAATACATAATAAATCAGAATCAATTTTACAGGCTGCTTTTTTTATATATTCTGAAATTTTTGTTACTTCTTCGCGTAAAATTCTCTCTTGAAGATCCTTTATTAAATATAGTCATTAGCACAATATATACATTTATTTAAATTATAAATTTATAATAATTTAAACATACATCAAAATACTTAATCCCAATACGTTGGGCATGTGTTAATTTAACATTTTTAATAATATCATTAAAAGTTCTATAACCTTTTGCATACTATTTCATGGCAGTAAATCTGCCTACACCTATTTTATTAATAATTTAAATAAGATTAGAATGAAAAATTAATAAAAAATTAATAAAAAGATAAATAGATAATCATAATAGATAATAAAAATATACCATAAATATCACCAAATTTTTTAATTATTTCTTCACTTTCTGAAAAATATTGTAATTGTCTTAAATTTTCAGTATTGATAATTTCTACGATCTGTAATATAAAAAGATAAATGATTTAATTTAAAAAAGATAATAAAAAATAAAGATTAATAATTTTTATATAGATGCATAAAATTTAAAGAAAAAACTAACTTTTTCAGCAGTGCGATGTCCTATACCAGGAATTTTTATAGCATCTTCATAGGAAGTAATCAGTTTATTTTGCTTTTTTATTGCAGAAATCACTTTTTG